TAAACCGCCGAGCCACCGGGGCTGCCCAGTTCATTATTTTCAAGCTGGAAAATCTAACCTGGATAAAATTTAGTAATTTAATGATAATTTCATTTTTGTTTTGTTTCCATGCTTTGTGTTTCTTTTGGTCAATCTGAACTTTTTTGTGGACAGAGTTGGAAGTGATTGACTACACACACTTCTCTAACAAGAACTAGTTTTAAAATTCAAAACTACACACCACACACATTTACATACATGCTTTGTATATATTTGTATATATTTTTAAATCAGGGGTGGGTTGAGATTAGCAAGGAAATAACAAATACCTTAAAGTTTTTTGGACTGTTATTTTAAGTGCTGACTGCAGATTGGTACGAAAAACCTTCCTAATCTTTGGCTAAGAGTATATACCAGCAGGTGTTCATTCTTCAAACTACCTCTAGTTCTCCTAATATTCATCTTTATTTTCCTATTCTTTTGCTACTGTGGTGAAGATTGGCTGGTTTCATAGAAGAAAGTTATTAGCTCGTCCATTCAAGCTTATATAACCATATCAGAGACTGAGTGGCTTGTAAACAGCAGAAACTTATTTTTCACAGTTCTGAAGGTTGGGAAGTCCAAGATGAAGGTGGTGGCAAATTCAAATCTGGTGAAGGCCTGTGTCCTGGTTCATAGTAGACTAGTCTTGCTGTGTCCTTACAGGGTGTTGGGAGTGAGGAAGCTCTCTGCGGGCAGTAATTCCATTTGTGAGGACCTAACTCCCAAGACCTAATCACCTCCCAAAGGTCCCACTCAGTGCCATCATAGAGGAGGTTAAAATTTTACCATATGAATTTTGGGGGAAGGGACACAAATACTCAGTCTACTACAGCTAGCATTTAAGGTGAACTGAACTGGCTACCTATTTATTTATTTTTCAAGCAAAATATATGTAGAAATAGATTTTTTATTACATATTATATGGAAATGTAGAGTAGAAATAGATATGACTTTTTTTGATGTGGAAATAGGCTTTAAGATTTTTACCCTGATCATATCTTTTTCATTTTGGTGTTAAAGTCTCTTTTCAGAGATACTTAAAAGCAGAACATAAAAAAGAGAAACAACCACACCACATGAAAGATATTTGAGAGGCATCAGCAATTACCACTTCTTTAGTGGGACTCCTCCTTTAGTGGGACTCTGTTCTGTACTTACAGCTGCAGGACTTTACATTTTAGATTCTTCTTCCTTATTTGTATCTTTGACTTTGTAACACTAATCCTATTTTTATTTCATGTAAGTCCTCATGAAGTGTAAAGCCCGTGCTTGAGAAGTAGGGTTGCTCCCTATCCTTGCCCAAGGGTGGAGTCATTGATTGCAGCACTCAGAGTGCCCATGAGATTATGTTAATTATTGGCTACTGTACTTGAAGTTTTCTTTTTGAGCATGTCACCTACCTTCTTCAAGCTTCAATTTTTGGTGTAGAGCTGGTATGTGATACGATTTAGGTGATATATTGATTGGAGATTGAGTAGCCTAGAATCCCATAGTTAGAAAGTGATGTTCTTTCCAGTTTTTGTTTTCAGTTTTCTTTGAGTCCTTCAGAAAGCAGAAAAGTGGTATTTTGGAGCTAGTGTGTAACACTTATCAACATTGGTCCATCTCCATTTTTCACAGAGAAAGCAAGCTCCAGGCTCAGAAGCTCCTTTTAGCAGGCAATAGGACATGGCTAGAATTTAATAACACTGTATTTATTTTTATATCACCTTTTGTTTAATGGAAAACAACACTGCTTTTCTATTTTTGATAGATTGCTTTTTTTCTCTTTTTTTAAGCACAAATAGTTTTAAGCACAAGAGGTGATTCCCCTGCACCTGCAGGGGAGTGGAGACAGAAAAAGTAAGGAAGCCAGTAAAGAGGTCACCACTGTGGACAACAGGAGGGTAAGCCCAGTGGGGAGCTCTGGGAGTCAGCCTAGGACATGGCACCTCAGCCTTGTCATACTCCAGAGTAAAGGGAGATACTGGCAAATATATACCCAGTTCTTGGTAGTTGTTATTGAAGCGCCCTGGGGTGGTTAATTCTTTAGAACTTCCAAGCTGCCCCTCCTTCATTCAGTCAGAGCACCTCTGACAACACCGCATTGGTGTTGACAGTGGCCTCTGTGGACAGAGTGCATGGGTGGGACACCAATAATTTCTGCTGTCCTCTCAAGTATGCTCAGCTTCTCTTACATCCTCCTTGTCCTGGTGAACAACAGCCCCATCCTTTGGTGCTCAGGCGACAAACTTTGGAGTCATCCTTTACTCTTCTGTCACTTCCTCCATGTAAACCATCAGCAAATCTGGTTGGCTCAGCTTTTAAAATATATTCCAAATCTGACCTCCCTCATCCCTGCTGCTGCCACCTGGTTCAACCTACATCATCACACAACCTCCTGACTTTGCCCAGTTATGCCTTAGCAGCTGGATGAGCCATAGAAAACCTAAGTCAGATCACGTCACTTGATCTAAAACCCTCCAGATGTCCCCATCTTACTCAGAGTAAAAGCCAGTCTTTAAAAGTGCTTCTAAAGGGCTGCCCAGGTGGCTCAGAGGTTTAGCGCCAACTTCAGCCCAGGGTGTGATCCTGGAGACCCAGGAACAAGTCCCGCGTCGGGCTCCTTGCATGGAGCCTGCTTCTCCCTCTGCCTGTGTCTGTGCCTCTCTCTCTCTCTCCCTCTGTGTTTCTCGTGAATAAATAAATAAAATTTTTAAAAAAGTAAAAAAAATAAAATTGCTTCTAAGGCTCTCTGTGCTCTGGCCTTCTCCATCTTTGTGTGTGTCTTTGGACATGAATATACAGTTCCTTTGGTTTTTAGCCTTATATGTAGTCAAAACATTTGTTTCTTCATTCCCTTCAGTGTAGGAATTCATTTGTCAAGATTTTCATTCCATCTTTACTAGTACATCCTGGTTAATTTTTTTTTTTAAAGTTTCATACAGTAAGTTTTTATGGTATGTTGGTTTTGACAAATGCCTGGAGTGCTGTGTTCACTAGGACGGTTCTACATAAGAGTTTATCCCATGCTGCCCTTTGTAGACAGTCCTCCCTACCTTCGAGCTTCCAGTCTGTTTTTCCTTTTTATAGTTTTGACTTTATTAGTATCATATAAGTGAGAATCTTATAATATGTAGTCTTATATAATCTTATAATATGTGGTTTGATTCTTTAAGTTGGCAGAAATGCATTTAAGATTATTCTATGTTGTATGAATCAATAGTTCATTCCTCAAGTGTCCTTTAGAACAAATTTAGCAAGAAAAAGTGAATTGATTTAAAGAAAATACTGAACAACAATGACAGATGGCATATACATGTGAGAAACATTTTGAACCTGAATCTGGAAATCAGTAATGTGATGGAAAGGTGCTAGATAAGGCTTTCTTTATCTGGTACTCCTGGCAGTAATTAACCATGTACTTTTGGGGAAGTCAACTCTTTGCTCTCCAGTTTTTGATAAAATACCTGATCTAGTAGTTGTTAGCTCCTGTCTCCTGAGATAGTGGTGTTTCATAAGACAGAGTATTTTGGATGCCTGGGTGGCTCAGTCAATTAACCCTCAGACCTTTTTTGTTTGTTTGTTTGTTTTTGTTTTTTTTTTTTGTTTGTTTTTTAAAGATTTTATTTATTCATGAGAGACACAGAAAGAGAGGCTGAGACATAGGCAGAGGGAGAAGCAGGCTCCCTGCGGGACTTGATCCCAGGACCCCCGGAATAACAACCTGAGCCAAGGGCAAACACTCAACCACTGAGCCACCCAAGTGCCCCAAGCCTCAGACTCCTGATTTTAGCGTGGGGTGTGATATCAGGGTTGTGGGATCAAGCCTGGCGTTGGGCTGTGTGCTTAGCGCAGAGTCTGCTTGTCCCTCACCTGTCTCTTAAATAAACATAAAATCTTAAACTAACGGGGGATCCCTGGGTGGCTTAGCGGTTTAGCGCCTGCCTTCGGCCCGAGGCCTGATCCTGGAGTCCCGGAATCAGGTCCTGCCTCCAGCTCCCTGCATGGAGCCTGCTTCTTCTCCCTCTCCCTCTCCCTCTGCCTGTGTCTCTGCCTGTGTCTCTACCTCTCTCTCACTCTCTCTCTCTCTCTCTCTCTCTCTCTCTCTCTCTCTCTCGCTGTTTGTCTTCTGTCTGTCTCTCATGAATAAATAAGTAAAATCTAAAAAAAAATGTCTTGAAATTTTAGGTTCTTTGGATAGCTCTTTTATCCATGGGAGGCGGGGGTAGTAGCTCTTTTTAACGTTAGCATTTCATTGTTGTGAAGCAGCTGACACCCTGGATTGTTAGGACCAGGTGTTATAAAGCTTTATGAAACCTTGATTAAAGGAATAAGAGCCAGACAGTAGGAATGAGGTAAGCCTCATTGTAAGTCTCCAGTTCGTTTATGTTTTTTCTGTTGGGCTTATCAAGTGTAAGATAGGTGGAATCTGAGTCAGAGCTGTAGTAGTATCTAGGAAGTACTGGGGGTCCAAAGATCCCTGCAAGTTTCTGACAACTTCTTTTGTTACTGTAGCATTTGGACTTTAATCCCCATAGTCCTATTGTTAGGTAAATTTGTTCAGGGATGTCTCTGAAGATTGATTGTTGGAGTTCATAATTTCCCAGGACTTTATTGTGGTTCATGGATAGGCCATCTTGTCACATCATTGGCAATGTATTTTGGAGGGTGAGTGTGTGTTTGAGACTCAGACACTGTTAACAGATAACTGGAAAAGGAAACCAATGATACTTGCTTGTTTTGTTTTTATTTTTAAAGATGGACCCATGAACTGACCCATGTCATTCCTTTTTACATCACAATTAATGGCTGCTTTAATTTCCCTGGCAAGATGGCTGTATTCATTTTTTTGAAATAGGTTAGTAATTTAGTAGTATTTAGGTGATAGAGCATCAAATTAGATTAAGTGAAAGGAATTTGAGAGCACAGAATTGCTGTGATTTGTGCTTCCTTTGCATGTGGTATATAGTAATATTTATTTTATGTTTTACTTTTAGTAATGAATGTTATAACTATTGAAGATTATAAGAGCACATACTGGCCAAAATTGGATGGTGCCATAGATCAGCTTTTAACTCAGAGTCCTGGTGACTATATCCCCATATCCTATGAACAGATATACAGGTAAGTCAAGATTTCATTTACCTGGGTTTGAGAGGGTACAATAAGGTTCATGACACCTTGAAATATGGCAGTATATATACATATAATATTCATAAGGTGACTTTGTAGGTTATTTGTATATTTCACACTTAGAGGCTAGAGGTTTGGCTTATACTTTCTGCTTCAGAATTGGCTTTCAAATCAAGGTAGAGTTAACCCTAACTCACTTAGACTTCCTCCCATCTCAGCCTGCTACCCCTGCTATACATAATGAAGAACTTTGGAGGTTAGCGAAAAAGAATGACAAGTACCTGGTGTAAAAATCTGTATTTTTTGATCTCACAGAGAGACAGACCCTAGCTTAGTTTGTTGATGTTTATTGACACACAGTTCTGTCTTTGGTTACTTTGTTTCCCAGGTCCTTGTAAGTGGAAGCAGTGAGGACCTGGGGTGGGACATGAGTTCAACGCAGTCACAGAGGAGGAGGTGATGATAGTTGTGTTGTTCTACACAAGTGATGCATAAAGAGGTTACATTACAAACCTTTTTTGTGAGTTAGAAGCTTGGTGTGAATTATCACTCTCCTTTATTTTGACATGCATTGAAATGAGAGAGTGAAACTGGTTTATAAGTAGTTATCATAGTCCCAGTTTCAGATTATCACCCAATACTAAATTACCTAGTACTGCCAAAATGTGTAACACAGTACTCAGAAAGATTTGCAGATAGTGGTAGTAGCTCTTTTATCTGAACACTGATTAGGGCAAGGTAAATTTCTGTTTAAAAGTTGTGATTGGTCGGGGTGCCTATGTGGCTCAGTCAGTTAAGTGTTCAACTCTTAATTTCTGCTCAGGTCATGATCTTAGGGTCATGAGATTGAGCCCTTCTTTGGGCTCCCTGCTCAATGCAGAGTCTGCTTAAGATCCTCTCCCTCTTCTCCTCCCCTCCTCAGAAAAAACCATACTTCCTTGCTTTCTTTCTCTCTTTCGATTAAAAACTTGTGATTGGTTACTTTTATTAGGCCTGAATTATTTGCCCCGTGACTGTGTATCCAAAGTATGCATTCATCTTAGGTTGAATGCTTCACCGTTAACTTGGTTTTTCTGTTTTGGTTTTCCCCTGCAGTTGTGTGTATAAATGTGTCTGCCAGCAGCACTCAGAACAGATGTACAGTGATCTGATTAAAAAGATAACTAATCACCTAGAGCGAGTCTCCAAGGAGCTGCAGGTAAAGAACTGATTGTTACTGATTTTTGCTTCCTTGAGATTTTTGGACTGTTTGGAATTAGTCTGTAGAATACATTTTTGGAGGCTTGTTAATTTGATTATAGTATAAATTTATAAATATTTTCTAGATGAGTATGTCTATCCTTTAGAGTAAATTGGTAGAAAATTAGAAATAAATTGTGGAGCTTTTTAAATTGAATAGATGTTAACTGATTCCATTTATTACCATGTCAATGTTTCTTTTATTTAAAACTTTGTTATTTCTGCTAACTTCAGATTTTGATGACTTTTATAATAAACATATGTATATTTTAAGTTTTTACTGTAACATTTTTTGGTATTCTCTGTGGAAAGTGGTGTTTGCCTGCTAGTTTCTGATATTTGCTAATATAAAAACAGTTGAAGTCAGCATTTTGTTGATAAGCCCTCTTTAGATGAACGTAATCCCAGCTGTAAAATCTGGATGGGGCAAGCTGTAGAAACATTCTGTTTAAGGAAGCACTTGGCTTCTGCTCCCTGCCCCTCCCTGCCTTAGTAAAGTTTCCAGTGCTTGAAGATCTGGGACTGTCTTTATGCCAGGGCCAGATAATATTTTAGTTCTGATGTAGAAATAATATGTTGTGTAGAAAAGTCATTCAGCAATAGATGACCAGGGTCCATATCACACTTAGGAAGTGTTCCAGCAATTCTGAAATACCCAGTTTCTAGCAACTGTTGGGGCCTGCTTTGGCCTTGGATATTGTTCCTCACTTACCTTGTGCTCTGAGGTATCTTGGTCTTGTTTACCCGAAACAGTTGTTATACTAATGTAGCTATTTTTTTTAAAAATTATAGTGAGAGGAAAAAAAAATTACAGTGAGAGCTATGTTTATCATAGCCAAAAGTATACTTTTCCTATTGTTAGAGTGTAAACTGTTTTTTTTTTTTTTAAAGATTTTATTTATTTATTCATGATAGTCACACACAGAGAGAGAGGCAGAGACATAGGCAGAGGGAGAAGCAGGCTCCATGCAGGGAGCTCGACGTGGGATTTGATCCGGGGACTTCAGGATCATGCCCTGGGCCAAAGGCAGGCGCTAAACCGCTGCGCCACCCAGGGATCCCTGTAAACTGTTTTATTAATCTTTTTGCCACTTAACTGCGCAGTCTTTGCTCATTTAACAAATATATTTAGTACCTAGGCTTGTATTTAAGTTGTAATTGAAACCCAAGATCTGTGCATTATAGCTTTGAGTTAATTTGCTTACTAATTCTTGCCTCTCCCTTTGCCCTTATTTCTCACATTCAGTTCATTACCAAATCTTATTTGCTCCTCATTTCTCCCTTGGCTCTTGTCCGCTTCTGTTCACTTGCCACTGGCAGTCCAGGCTACCATCCATCCTCTCGTGTTTTACTGAAATGCTAATCCTCGCTGGTTGCTCTGCCTCTGGTCTTCACGCCTCTTGCTTATTCTACATTTCTGTCAAAGTGGTTGTTTCTAAAGCATAAATCTGATTATCTTTTTTCTCTTAGATTGAAGTTTAAACTTTTTAATATGCTTTAAGAAACCTTTCATGATCTGATTCCTGCTTATTTCTGTGGCCTCTTATATTACGTCTCTGCTCCTGTATACTGAATTTATTTCAGCTCCTTGAACAGTTATGTAGCACTCTCTCTCACTTCTTGGCTTTTACCATGTTAACTTCACCGCCTAAAACATTCTTTGTTTTTCTCTGCCCTCTTATTTTTTTGGTCAGTGTGAATTTACAATTTTGGCTGCAGGTTGGATATCATTTGTTTTGGGAAACATTCTCTGATACCTTGTTCCCTGAAGCCTGGGTTTGGGGACCATTTGTGCCTCTGTAACACCTCGTATATTATTGTAGTTCGTTTGTGTATTATAATTTCTTATTTAGCTGTGTCTGTACTTCCCTCTGTCCCCAGTATTTTCTGAGAGGGCAAGAAACATGTCTGACTTCTTTGTTACTGTGCTGTTAATACCTAGCCTAGTATCTGATACATATGAGGCATTAAATACCTTTTGAATGAAATATATATCACATGTTTACCAGTAAATAATTTACTGCTTGTTTGAATAAAATTTTTCTAGTAGAAATCTGAATGTGATCATGTTTTTTATCAAACATTAGGTGGGCTTTGGGGTTCAGGGAGTACCAGAGCTTTCCTTAGATCAACAAGGAACTCAATATCCTCAAAAAGGGTTGTTTTATTAACATTGACTTGGCATTATTGAAGTAATACTAAATAATCTTCTAAAACGGAAGGCAAATCATTTTGCTTCAAATTATCAGGACAAAATATGTAACTTGTCTTATTTGTATCTATGAAATGTGAATTGGAAATTTTATACTGTTTATTATACTTTTGGGCTCTGATTTCTTATTAGATCATGAATTTGACCAACAGAATTGTGATTTGCTAAATTAATCATATTAGAGTTTTTGGGTGAATTTTTCTCGTATTTAGTTTTTCTAAGCACTGTAAGACCTCTTTTCATTCTTACAGTTAGAATGTTGTTTTAAAATATTTTGCGAGGGACACTATAATATGGTGTTATCAGTGATAGCTCAGTCTAACTGATAGTTTTGGAAGGCTCCTTGGCTACATTTTTGCCATGAGTTTGTTTGCCCAGTTGTCAGTAATGAAGGTAACCTGTAATTTGCCCAGCTGGGCTGTCTGGGGTACTAGTACTTTGGAGTCACTGAGGTTCAGAGAGTAAGTTTTGGATATTTTGGAGAATGAGCCCTGTCATTGTGCCTAGAGTTCCTTTATTCTTTATCATGAATGTCTGATTGTTCTGTTGCACCTTTCTTTATTGATGTACCTTCATTTATTTAACTGTTTTTTGATTGAGGAATATTTACATTCCTTCTAGTCTTTGGCTATTACTTACTAACAGTGTTGCAGCATTGACTACATCTGACCATATCATAGTTCGCAAAAGTAGTACCAAAGTAGCATTCCAACCAGTTATGTATTTATCAGTGAAGTGCCTGTTTTCCCACATCCTTGCTAATACAGCTATATTATAAGAGTAAATAGTTTTTACATTACACAGTAGGAATTTTTATTAAAAACTAAAACATAAGAGTGCTATCTCTTTTGATGTTAGTATTTTGGAAACTATCCTGATAAATGTAAAGATAACCTGTGATGTAAAACCAGGGAATTTAGTTGATTTTTAGAATCAATACATGTTCTACTTATAATTTAGCAATATGGGCTATAAAAAAAAATCTTCAGAATGGTATCTTTTGTAAGATTATAAAGTCTGACCATTGTTAAATGGCCTAGTGAAGTGGATAAAAACACGGGGACCTTGGTTTTCATCTTAATTCTGCTATGCAGCTGCTGTGTGCCTTTTGATTAAACATGCTAATACTATTCTTAAAAATTTTCTCAACACTGAACTGAAATGGCTTTACTGAAATATCTGGTTTCTTTAAGGAGAGTTCTAAGATACTTTGTCTCCTACTTCCTGCTTGGCCAATCCTCTGTTGTTTTCCCAGACTTAAACTCATTAGTGTCCACCTGTGTGGAGTGTTCTGGAGTTCTCGTGCTGTCCTCAAAACAAAACAGACCATTGGAATTTCCTCTTTCATGGACTTATAGCATCTTGGCAGTAACAACCCTGTTAGCAGTGATTGTGTTGTATACAGGTCTGCATACATGTCTGGCCACTTTACAGGTCCTCCATTGAACGCAGGGATTCTGTCATGTGTGTCTCTTTATGCTTCATGTCTGGCACCATTACAGCTCAGCAAATGATTGTTGAGTAAATTGCTCAGCAACTAAATTTGACCTTTACCATGGAAAGAGTAGCATAATTAGCTTCACATGATTACTAATCTTTATGTTCTCTAGGCATTTGGGCATTTTATTTATTTAGAGTTCAGTTAATTCGATTTATTAATTTATTCAGTGTCCCAAATATGTGGCATAATCTTTGCATAATGTCTGCTTTTATAGAGACCTTAAGAGCACTTTTCACATGGAACAGAATGGGATACATTAGCCAGAAAAGTTGTATTTTGGTTGGAATGTTTTGTTTGCTGCTCTGATTTTAGAAACAAAATACTGTTGTTATGAGCTAAAACAAGAGTGGGATGAGTTGCATTTGGCAGAGATAATCAGAAATGTAGTGCTGGTGTTGATAATCAATAAGTTGGACCTTCAGGGCATGGGCCTTTATCTTTCAAGGACATCTTAAAATAGCTGCTGGTTTGTATAGTTTACATGTCAGAGTGATTTATTCATCTCCATCAAAAGGCATATCCTGTTGGTGAGACTGAGTGAAGAGTATATGAAATAATGTTCCATATTCTCCAGTTATTGACTTAAGAGCTTGGTAATACTATTTTCAGAGATTTCAAAAGATTTTAATTTGTTAAATCTAAATGTTCTTGTGTAAGAGTGTAATCTAACATGCCACCTCATAAAAATTTTGTTTCTTTCATTTTATTTATTTTTTTTTTTTTAAATTTTTATTTATTTATGATAGTCACATAGAATGAGAGAGAGAGAGAGGCAGAGACACAGGCAGAGGGATAAACAGGCTCCATGCACCGGGAGCCCGACGTGGGACTCGATCCCGGGTCTCCAGGATCGCGCCCTGGGCCAAAGGCAGGCGCCAAACCGCTGCGCCACCCAGGGATCCCTGTTTCTTTCATTTTAAAAGAAACAATGACTTTTCCACCTTAGTAACTTTATTTTTCTTATTTTTTTAAAGATTCATTTATTTATTCATGAGAGACACAGAGAGACACAGGCAAAGGGAGAAGCAGGCTCCTCACAGGGAGCCCACTGTGGGACTCGATCCTGGCTCCTGGGATCAGGCCCTGAACCAAAGGCAGGAGCCCACCTGCTAAGCCACCCAGGCGTCCCCACCTCAGTAACTTTAAAAAGCTTTTTTGTTATTAAGTTTATTAAGTTACTAAAATCACTTAAATAGCTAACCCCACTTAGAATTCTTCTTACTATTATGTTGTATGTAAATCTATA